AAGCTCTTACTCTTGAAACTTCTCAATTCCATTTTCCGATTCAATAGCTTCCCCTCCTGGGCCAACAATCTCAGCACTCCGGATATCCTATCCTTCTCTTCCAGAAGCAAAGTTAGATTTCAATCCACTAGCTCTAGCATTCTATCCCCCTCTGTATCCTCAAATTCTTCCTGTTTTTGGATATTTGTTTCAGGCAAATTGGCACAAGCGATTTCAGCATTCAAAGTCGACTGGCCTGGAATTGGATCTACAAACATAACAGAACAAGAAGGCACAGAATTAGTAAAGCAAAGAGGAATGCCTAGATGACTAGAAGAAGGGGCGGAAAGAGGAGGGGATAAGGGGATAGAAACTCCCTGTTCCAATGTTTTGCAAGCTTCCCCTGTATCAAGCTCTTTTTGTTGGTTTTCCTCTTGAGAAATCCCCATGACAGCATCCTTATTCTATTCCTCTTGTACTTCCTCTTGGAAAACACTGGATCTACCATTCTTCCCTAGCCACTGATCCTGTTTCTATACTTGCATTGATAGCACCATCATGTGCTCTTCAGGTAGAAGTGCCCCCATACTAAATAAAGGGGTGGTCTCTTGTCCGTCTGCTGCCACCAGCTCCTTTGTCTTTTCCGAGTCTTGGTCGTCAAATAGTAACTTGGTTCCCAGATTGTCTTCTTCCAAAATTTTACAAGCTTTAGTGGAATCTATGCTGTCGATGCTAGAAGGCTGTCTTCTTCCTCTCCAAAATCAAAACCTTCCAAGTCCTCCCAATCATTGGCGTCTTCCCAGTCTTCTTTATTTTCCCTGAAATACCTTGGGTTTAGCCTGTCTGGTGTCGTGGAACTTTTTGGGTGCACTTGCCTCCAAGCGAGCCCTGAAATCCCTGAAAACCTCCTTTGGTTTCCCACATTAGCACCTAAGGAAGTACCCTTTTGGTTCTGATCCTTCTTTGCTTCGACAGGAAAAGAGGTCGGATTTAATGGGGAAGATGATAGATCTCTGTTAGTGTCCCCTAACCCAAGTTGAACAGTCATGTGATCACTTAAATGGTCATGTGCAAGGGTTAGTTTTGGTCCACCCACGAGACTAGGTTTGTTTACTGGCTCAGATTTACTTGGAATTCTTTCCGGTTCAACCTGCTGTGACAACTTACCATCTGCTTCAACCTGCTGTGATAACTTTCTGGTCCTGTTTGCTTGCTATTTTTGGAAGCCTATGACCCCTCTTTTTCTTGGCATGATCGTTGAGCTTTGGCTCCACTTGATTGTTTGCCTGTTTCATCCAATGGCTGAACTCCACACAGGCTTTTCCATGCCATCTCATCATCTTCTACCTTTGCTCCCTTCCACAGTTTCGAATCCATTTCAATGGCTAACCAGGTGATGTAAACCATTCCATCTACTGTAACCTCCAATTGAGTTCTTCAGATTATTCCTTTTCACTCTCAAGCATCTTTAGGGCTTGACTCTTCTTTTCACTCTCAATCCTTCAAGATGAAGGATCTTGGTCCATTGACTTACTTTCTCATCCTTGAAGTCAATAAGAGCCCTCAGGAATACTTTGTAAATCAGTAGAAATATGCCAGTGACCTGATTAAGATGGCCAATCTTATTGATTCTAAGTAGGTTGATACTCCCTTGTAACTCAACTTGAAGTTTAGTAAGAATGATGGATAGCTTCTCCTTGATGCCACCTTATACCGCTAGCTTATTGGCAACCTTATTTATCTCACCGTGACCCAACCAGATATATGTTGTGCCATACAGATAGCCAGTCGGTTTGTGCCTGCTCCTCGGCAACCTCATTTCTTTGCAATTCTTCAAATCAGAGGATCCTTATCTAATGGCCTTTTCTTCTCGTCTTCCTCATCTACTCAGTTGATTGCTTATGCTGATGTTGACTGTTCTAGCATTTAAATCAAAAGGGGGAAACTAGTGTCTATTTTATTTAAGTGTGAATGTTGGGGGGTTGTTGAAAAAGAGGGGAAAAAGAAAAGGATCTCCTCCTTTGTTGTTCTGATGAGGCCAAAAAAAAGAAAGGAAAGAAAAAAAGAAGATAAAAAAGAGAAAAATGCGAATATATTCTGTATTTGTATGTTTTTTGTAGTAGGTTCCCAAATTGTTGTTCTTCAGTAGCTTTGTTGATAGTTTGGGTCCATGGGCATTTTTGTCATTTTATATCTCAGATTCTGGTCAAGGTTAGTTGTGTGCACATCTGTTGGGTTTTAGTCTCTTGGGTCTTTTTGTAACAAAATTTATCTTTTGGGGGTTTGTTTGAAGTTAGTTTTGTTCTTAAGGAGTTGCTGTGAAAGGAAAACATTCTAGGGGTTTATGTGTAAATATTTTAATTGGCTTCTCCAGCAAGCCATTGAGTCTTATAAAAGAGAAGGGGGCTGTTTCTGTAGGGGTCTTTTGGTTCTTTCTCTCTTGTTTGACCTGTAGCTCAGCCCCAACTAAGGTTTTTAAGTATTGGGAGATTGGGTTTGGAGGAGCCAACCCATTTTGGCACCTTCCAATTACATGTAATTTTTTTTCTATCCACATCAAGTGGTATCAAAGCAAGTTCTTTCCTTGGGTTTGCTTCAAATTTCATTGCCTTGTTGTGTTTTGCTATATTATTATGGCCGTAAGGTGTGGACTTGGTAGGGGTGGTAGAAGACCACAACATGTCACTATAGAGGTTTTCCAAGAGGCTATAAGAGCGCTGCAAGAACAGATTGAGCGTCTTGTTCAACTTGTAGCTCAAAATGTTGCTAGGGGTGGTGATGTAGCAATTGATTTGGGGTTAGGAAGAAGAAGACAAGCTCCTAGAGTTGATGAACAGCCCTTGACATTATTAGTGAAGAATCAAGTGAACACATTGTGCAACTTGAAGGTGATCAACATGAAAGGAATAACAAATAGCGATGGGAAGACCGAATAGTGCAAGATTTACAATCCAATCAAGGTCATGGTGCTCAACTTCATATTAACGAGTTTGGTGGTGAGTTGGAACCTGAAGAGTTTCTAAATTGGTTGGACAGCATTGAAAATTATTTTGATTGGAAGGAAATGAATGAAGAAAGACAGGTGAAGCTTGTAACCACAAAGATGGTGATGTAGTGGAACTGTTCCAAAAGGAGTTCAGGTTCAGGTCCGAAATCCCTAAAAGTCCAACCTGTTTTTGTTGTTCTCAGCTTGGTATTTCTTGTGCCTATTGCTGTATACTTGAAGTGTTGCATGTAATTTATTTTTCTATCCACATCGTGTTCTCTTCTTTTTTTCTCTCAAAACCTTTGGTTCTTTTTTTGTGTTTCAATGGTTAAACCCTAAAATGAGACATAAGTAGAACAAACAAATTTTTTTTTCTTGATTGGAAGTAGAACGAACACTTTATAGAAGGATATATCAATGCCCACACTTATAATCTGGTAGCAATAATGTTATGATAAGAGGTGTGCCTTGTAATTTTTGCAATTCAGAATGTAAATTTTTACATTCAATTTACAATGTTAATGAAATTTCTGTTGCCTATCCAAAAAAAAAAAAAACGTTTTCAGTTAACCCACTACTATAGCAGCTTAACAATGGGTAGTTTTCCTTGTTTATACCCGCGCTTTCTTATTCAGATTGAATTCTGGATTAGGGGCTTTGCTAAGGTGGAGCATAGTGATTGAAATTTGAACCAAATCCACTAATATTTTGCTCATGAATTAAGTATAGATCGTGTCAAAATCGTTGGATTTGATGGAACATTTTGCGGTGGAAATGCCATTAGATTGAGCACAAGGATTGTGGAGACTCATACACTATCTTAATAGAGAGTAGAGATTACCATCAGTGATTTAAAAGGCGTGCCTAGGCGCATAGGTGAGGTGCATTTAGGGTATACGCCTTGCTTAGGTCCTAGGCCCAACATTTTCAAAAGGCGCATGCCTGATGCGCCTTGCACCTCAGCCCAGGCATGTGCCTTTTGAAAATTTTATGTTTTTTTTTTTTTTTTTTGAACCTAGCGGCTGGGAGAACCCCCTACTTGCTAATGTTGTTCATTCATTCATCCTAATGAAATATCTTCTTAAAAGGCAATTAAAATTATAGAATCATTATTTTTTGTATGAGAATTAAGAATTTAAGATCCTAACTTAAGATCCTATTATAGACTTGTTTGGGCTTTGCCTCGAGGGGCATGGCACAAAGTTGCTCATAGAATCAGGAATGTATATATTTTACATCACATTAGCTACTTGAAGTAATGCAATTGAAGAAAAAAAGAGATTGTGGGTTTTACATGCGTGAAAATGTTTGATATGCTTGATTTTATTTTTAAATTTTCATTTGAATATACTTTACATGTTATGCTTATGTATTTTAATTTTAGATAATAGGTTTTTTAAATATTTATTTTGAAATTTAAGTTTATATTTTTTATTAATATTATGTTTAATATTTTTTTATTTGTTGCATTTTTTTTTTTAATTTCTGACAATTGTTTTTATTTTTTTGGCATTTTTTGTATTTTTGCTTCTTGATTCAAAAAGGCATGCGCCTTGCCTTGCGCATCGGGTGCAAATTGGCCCTTGTGTTTTTTTTTTTTTGCGCGTTGTGCTTTTAAAACACTGATTACCATTCTTATTTTCCTCTATATATGCTGGATTCTTAGACAAATAGATGCAACAATGGATGGAGTAACTAGTTCCGTGTCAAACAGTTTTTTTTTTTTTTTTGGGCATATTTCATTAGTGAGAGCTCTATGCCTGTCTACTTTTTGTGTTAAGGGTGTGGTTCCATTTTAGTTTTTTGTATAGCAATATACATCTACAGCCTTCTAAAAGAAATCTTTGACTTCAGGATCTATATAAACTCTTAATATTTGAAGTTTAACACAATTTATTTGATGTATATTATATTCACTATTCTCATCATTATTGCACACTCTTGTTTAGGGTGGATGCTATAATTGTTAAAAGAGATTTTCATGCAATTATTTACTACTTATATATGCATCTGAATATTTTTGTCTTGTTTTTAGGTTAGCATTGAAGGCAAAGATATTGGTAGGATGCTACTAAAATACCCATGGGTTATTTCATCAAGCATTATAGAAAACTATGAGGAAGTCCTCACCTTCTTTGATGCCGAAAAGGTACATATTTAGTTGGGCCAATTTATGTGAATATCTTGATATAAATTCAAATTAAGTTTTGTCATCAGAGACCTAATTAAATTTTCTATATGGTTTCAACTCGAGCTATAATAACACATTAGGTTACTTGGTTCAGGATTAAGGTTGTGACCAGAGGTTTGAACGGTACAAAAATTTTATCATTCCTCATGTTCATAGAATTGAGAGTTCCATGGATTTTATTTATTTTTGTAATGGAGGAGAGGCTTAGTGGGTTAGGAATATGAGGTAGGTAGTGAAGCTTTTTGAGCAGCTTTCAAACCTTAGAATAAATATTGATAAAAGATGCTTTGTGGGGATTAAAGTGGATGATAGTGAATTAGCCTCCTATATAGAAATTTTGGGATGTTCTGGTACGAAGTCTAAGGAGAATAGGTTTTGGAACCTTATTTTAGAATGGTTCTCTAAGAAATTGGCTGTGGTAGAGGAACTTTATCTCTTAAGGTGGTAGGTTGATCCTCATAAAGTCAACTTTGGCTAATCTCCATGTGTACCTATCATTGTTTAAAATCCCATAGGTGGTGGCCAAGAAGATGTAGAAAGTAGTAAGAGATTTTTTATGGGAACCAAGTGGAAGGAGAAAAGATCACTTGGTTAAGTGGGAAATATTGTGAAGAAGTAAAGAGGAGGGTTAGCATATGTAATGTCAAAAGGAAAATTATGGCTTTACAGGGGAAGTAGTTGTGGAGACTACCTACTGATTAAGAGAAATTATGACATAATTTGGTGGTAAGTATACATGGTTTATGGACAATGGATGGGATGCTTTCTTATCTCCTAGGGCTACCTGGGCTGCTCCTTGGCAGGTAATTCATGGTGTTCTTGTCTGCCTTAATTGTTTCAGGTATGTTTGTTTTATTAATAGAATTCGGTTTTTGGAGGATCTATGGGCGGGGGAATTTTTTACCTCTCTATTTTCACTCTTTTCTTTGAAAAGGGAGCCTATTTTATTTATCTCTCCCTCTTTTACATCTAGTGGCTTTGATTGGGATTTAGGTTTTAGAATTAGGCCTTTGAGAGTCAGAATTTCCTACTATAATCAACTTGTTGCAATTACTTGAAGGGGTTTTCTTGAATCCTCTTGAGCCTGATGGTTGTATTTGGACTCCTCATTATTTGGGTTTCTTCTCTTGTGCCTTTTTTTTACAATTTGTGTCCACTTCCTTTTTATGTATATATGAAGGAGATTTGGAGCAGTCCTATCCCTCCTAAAATTGTGGCTTTTTGTTGGGAGATTTATCATGAAAAAATTAATATACCTGATTTTATCTAGAAAAAGGATGTCTAACTGGCATTTGTCCCCACATAGGTGTATTCTTTGCAAAGCTGGTGGTGAGATTTGTAACCATTTACTAATCTCCTACAATTTGTTACTTGTATTTGGGAATGGTTTCTTACTTTATTTGGGTGCATGTGGATCCATCCATCAAGCATGGGCAGCTTATTCTCCTTGTCAATGTTTACTTAGCCAAAGAAAAGGGGAAGAATTACGTGGCAGTGAACTAGAGTGACATTTGCTTAGACAATATGATAGGAGAGAAATGTAAGAATCTTCAAGGAGTAGGATAGAAGCAAGAGGGCAATAATCAATTGTATTAAGCTTAAGTGGTCCATTGGATTAAATCATTGGATGTCTTCACCTTTCTCAACTGATAATATTGTAAGGAAATGGGAGAAGTGGCTTGATCCTCTTTTAAAAAGGTTATGATTTAAAGGAGATGGACACCACTGGAGAGGGGCCTCATAAAGTTCAATTTTAAGGGCAGCGGTATTGGGCATCTGGGGTCTTTAGGAGTGGAAGAGGTCTTTAAAGACAAAAAGGGACATGTAATTGCTATGTTCCCGGGCCCAATTGCAGTGGGTGACTGTTTAATGGTGGAACTTATGGATGTTTTTCAAGGATTGCAATGTGCAAGTGAAAAGGATTTGGGTACAAGTTTAAAGGGGTTTTTCCTTGTGCTTCCTTCTTTAAGTCCCTCGGTCAGTCCCCTTATCAACAGGTTTTCCCTTCAAAAGAAATTTGGTGCAGGCTGTTTCCTCCTAAGATAATGGCATATTGTTGGGAAGTGTATGATGGGAAAGTGAACACATTAGATAACCTACGAAGGAGAAGAGCTTATCTTTGTATCTCACCCAACTGGTGTACTCTCTGTAGAGCTCACAGGGAGGATTCTTACCATTTATTAATGTCCTGTCCTGTTTTTGCAGAATTATGGATTTGTTTTTTTCGTTGTTTGGGTGCAGGTGGAACTTGCCAGCAGAAGTAAGCATGATTTTTAACCTCTCTACATTCATTTGGCCAAAAAAAGAGGAAAAATATGTGGAGATGCGCTAGAGCAGCCTTGATCTTGCCTATTTGGGAAGAAAGGAATGCTAGAATATTCCAAGAGGAGAGGAATAGTCAGGATTTAAAGGATTGTCTATTGAATAGGGCAATACATTGGTTAAGGACCATGGAACTATTCCATCAATTCTCCTTTACAGATTTATGGAGAAATTGGTTAGCAGTAACAAGGTGTTCATCGAGTAAAACTAGGGCAGCTACAAGATGGATCCCATCACATGAAGGCTCAATAAAGCTGAATTTTAGTGGGAGCAGTCAAGGTAATCCAGGACGCTCTGGAATGGGGGCGTGCTGAGAAACGAGCTTGGAGAGATTGTACTCCTTTACTCAAGTCCTTTGGGATTTGGGGATTCAGTAAGGGCAGAATTACTAGCAGCCCTACAAGGAGTGCAATTTACAAATCAACTGGGTGTAGGGCAGCTACTGATTGAAGGGGACTCCAAGGTGGTGGTGGGGTGGTTGAAGAATCCCAAGGATATTATATGGCACTACAAAAAGAAATAAAAAAATTTCAGTGGCTGACAAGGAATATGTCTGTTCTTATACAATGGGTGGGGAGATCAGCAAACACTTTGGCTGATGGTTTAGCTAAGCAAGGGGCAATTAGGGAGGTCTTGTTTTGGGATCACCTGTAATGCTTATTCTTTCTTCTTTCTAATTTCCTTGTAATCAGTTGGGAGAGGCTGCAGCTCGTGCCTTACCAAGGGTTGTTGTATGAGCTTAAAGCTTTCTATTAAGTTATGAAGTAATGCTTATTCTTTCTTCTTTCTAATTTCCTTGTAATCAGTTGGGAGAGGCTGCAGCTCGTGCCTTACCAAGGGTTGTTGTATGAGCTTAAAGCTTTCTATTAAGTTATGAAGTAATAAAATTTTTCTTTATTCATCAAAAAAAGTTAAATGGATTCGAGTACTACTCAATAAAGGTGATTCAAAGGTGTTAAAAAGGACAGTAAATGGATTGGCAGATACTCTAGCAAAACAGGGAGTTGATAGGCCTACTTTATTTTGGGAAAAACTGTGACTGGCTGTATCAAAACAGAGGGGTATTTGTCTCTGTAATATGGGAGTTTTTTGTAAAGTGATGTACTCTGGAAGCAGAGTATTAAAGTAATTATAATATGCTTTTTAAATTAGTAAATAAATTCTTCTTTACTGATACAAAAAGGTGATTCAAAGGTGGTGATTGGTTAGTTGCTGAATAGTAAGAGAGCTTTGTGATCCTATAGGAATGAGCTAATGAAACTTAGATGGTTGACCAGGAATATTCAATTGAAAATTCAATGGTGGAAAGATTGTCTAACTGTATGGCTGATGCATTAGCCAAACAAAGGGGCAGTTAGGGATTAGTATTTTTGGGTTCAGTTGTAAAGTGAATCTTAAGGGAAGAGGTAGTAGTGATTATACTCTCCGAAGGGTGTATTTGAGCCATTTACATATTCGCTGTTTAGAATTATTAAAATTTTACTGTTACTTACCAAAATAAATAGTTCCACGGATTCTTTTGGATAAACTTTTCAGCATAATGATTAATTACTTATGTGGAATTCAAGGCAACCAAGCTTTCAAATCTTGATGGGGGAATCAGTCTCAAAGTTGGTAGAGGGGACAAGGTTAGATTCTGGACGGATCATTGATGCTTGGATCACCCTTTGGCTGAAGAATTTCCTCTTCTCTATCAGTGTGCTTCCAATCAGAATGCTTCGGTGGCTGATTTATACGGAGTCTCAGGTAATGAGGTGACATGGGTTCCCCAGTTCAGAAGAGGCCTTTTGGATTGGGAAGTTCAAGAAGCTATGAACTTGCTGGAAACTTTACAGGTTCAGAGCATTGACTATAACCAGGTTGACCAGTGGATTTGGACTTGGTCCAAAGAGAGTAGTTTCTCAGTAAAATCAATGGCCTGTAGACTCGGCAGTAGAGTTGCAGTGGGGGGTTTTCCTTCTAAGCAGGTTTGGAATTCAATTAGTCCCTCAAAAGTAAATTTCCTTGTCTGGACCATGGCTTTAAATAAATGCCTGTCCAGAACTAACCTAGAAAGAAGAGGCTTGCAGATCCCAGATAATTCTTGTGCCCTTTGTGAAGCACATCCAGAGTCTACGGATCATCTCTGCATTCACTGCCCGATTGCTGCCCAGGTGTGGTACTACTTCTTGAAGGCTGTGGGGATATGTTGGGTCATGCAAAAAACTGTTAAGGATATGCTCTGTAGCTGGAAGATCAGTAATCTGAAGAAAAGAGGGAAGCTGGTCTGAACTTCTATCCCGGCAGCAGTGCTCTGGGCTATTTGGTCTGAGAGAAACAACAGAATTTTTAATCATAAAGTGAGAAGGCAAGAGGAAATAGGTCAGATGGCTGTTTGTAAACTGATATCCTGGATTTCAGTTACCCCAGAATTCAAACATGTAAATGTAGCTCAGTTGTTGAGAAATCAGTCAATTTGGTGTTTGTAATGGGGGGTCCCCAGGCCTGTCTTGTTATTCAAACATTGGATTTCTTATTTTAAGAAACTGAATTGAAACAAATAAAACTATGTACTAGGAGAAGCGTCCTTCGAATGGTGGTTTTCCCACCAAGGCATGGTGGTTTTTCTTTGATTAATCATTAGTCTAATAAATTTA